TGAACACCACGCTACCAGCCTGAAATCTAGCCAGCTCCCAAAGCACGAGCTGCACGCTCTGAAGACCATGCTCTCAGTTTTCTGAAACTGGCAAGAGGAGATTTTTGAGAACTGCTCCACCAGGAAAAGGCAGACAGTGGCCAATTTCATGTGGAGTAGCTCGTTACCATGGCCTATAAAGTGCGAGAGAACAGCACGAAAGACCCAGACCTCTTTTCTCCAGGTGAGTTATTTCACTCATCTTCGGAGGGAGGCATCAAATGCGCTTTCCAGAAAATGGTCGTGATCACAGTAAGTGAATAAAAAGTTCCGAAACCCGGCCAGCAATCATCTGACAACCCAGTCAATTTTTTTGACGATTCTTCACGAAATCTACGGATATTTGCGGGAATTCTGCTGAGTTTGGATAGCACTGCATGCACGAACTTCCATTCCTGTCTTCTTAGACCTTACGAGGATCCGCTTCAGCCAAATTTTTTCGACCTATGTTGCTAACCCTGGTAAAATCTATGTATAAAGAAGTATAGAGGGACTGGAAAGAGCATGACAGAGTTAGCATCAAAAGGTAAAGGCGGCCATTGCTATCAGTCTCAGCTGCAAACCCATTCAACTGAAATTCGCCCAAAAGGGCTAGCGTTTTTTGCTTGTTGCATCGAACATCAGTAAGGTTCTCATACATGCTGGCTGAGTTGCAGCTGTCCATGACTTCTTAATCTGGTCAGGAAAAAAAGGGCCGCAGCAAAAACGCCACGTGGTCGTTTATTTTTCTGACTAAGGCAAACTATCACATTCATGCATTCAGTCCAACTACTGCGGTTTCTCCCGCTGTTCAGCCTGAGAAGATGAAAGCCATTGTCTTGTCGTTGTTCGCATGCGTGATGGCCGCCCCATCTCGGAGTTCCATTGATAATGAAATCGTCGGAGATCCTGCCGTGAGTTTTTCAGAAAACATCCCATTTTCGTTCGTGCTCGTTTTTCTCAATTCTTCAACTGAACAAGTGCTCTTGGTTGACAGTGAACAACAGTAGTTTTGCCTCTCATGAAATTTCCCCACAAGATGAGGTAACTCCAGATCGACTGTGATGACTCTTCGGTTGGTCTGACATTCAAAACGCGAAAACCTTTTTCTGGACGAGTTTACGTGTACGGAATGGTCGGTGATGAGAAGTGTAGCAGAGCTTTCGTTGAAAACCGAAATCAAAGCAGGTAGTGCCTCTCTCGATTATATTGTGCTGGAAAAGAATCCATGAAACTTATCCCACCTGTAATTTGAAAAAATCAAAATCAATTTCATTAGCTCGGGACAGATCTCGGCCTCAGTTATTTAGGTGTTTATCACTAGGCCCCCTTCTATGCTTCCTCCTACAGAATATGGCCAGTTGGGAGTGAAAAAGCGAACAGTTCGATTTCGAGATTGATTACAGAATTATTTCTTACTGTCAGCTCAACTGACATCATATCACGAAAGGACAATACAGCAGATACCAGAATGACAGATCAGAGTTCCGGTAGGAGACTAACCCTATATAGGGGACTAGAAATTCCTATTGTCCACGGCTAGAAACGCTGATAGTCCATAGCCAGGTTTTTCTGAATTGCAGTTGATAACTATTGGTATGGCGCATCGAGGTACTTTGGAATGGAACTCCAATAATGTACTGCCAAGACCTCCTTACAAGTCCACTGAATAAATTCCAGAGAAAAAATAAAATAAAAAAATGTCGTAGTATAATTCAACCTAGCAAATCTGTGTAACCATTACCCCATTATAACACAAAAAAGCGATTAGTTTACTGTTTAGAAGGTACTGTAATTGGAAGGTATACTTTCGCCACAATTATTCCTGTTAAGCAATATTTTTAATAGTAGTAAAACTGTGTAATTTCTGAGGGCACTAGCAAGTTTTAACTCGGCTCTTGCTTTACCATGATTTATTCCGATGTGGTAATTTCAAAATTTGCTTCCAGACTATCAATGCATTTCAAAAATGGTGACTGCACTATGCAGCGGCAGCGAATTTCTGGACAAATTCAGGTAAAATCCTCTGACGAAGAACTTTTGATAGTCCCATATTACACTGTAAGTGAAATACCCTTAACAATATCTTCGATCACCAATTTTAGGGTTTGATGTCATCGATTGTAGTGGTCGTATCGTTTCACGGTACATTTGTTACAAAAGCCGATCGCGCCTACAAATGTATTTGCTTTTACCGAAATCAAAAAACCCTAACCAACTCGATAGGCAAGTCATTAATCTGTTAAATGTTAAATTGAAATTCTGATAGCTACTACATTCTCGGGTTTTCTGTTTATCTATGAAGTTTCTTTTTCCGAATTTGCACTTCATCAACCATCAACTCTGCATGTATTGTGTGTAGCTTATATCTCAGAAGATAGTTATTCAGCTTTCTGGGATTTTCCGTGGTGTACCAGCATTTCGACTCTGAAAGCAGTAAGCATGATGGGTTTAGCGGCTTTGATGACATCAATGGTGGACAAGACTCAGCGCGCTAGGAGCGTGGTTGGGGCCACCTCGCAATGCCCGTCCACCAGTGAGACGCTCAATGACGTCACCAAAACTTTTTCACCCTCCAGCCATCGTGTGCCCTGCCTATAAGGTGAAGGTTGAGTTTGATAGACTCCTAGGCTCACGCGAGGGCAGGGACTCCGGATTCTGTTCATTTCGACAAAAAAGAAGGCACTATTTACCCTTTACTGCCCCACTCCTCGAGAACTGAGCCGGATTTTTATCGAAATTGGTCATGACTGTGGAATTTGGCTAGAAACTTGCCTTCGGGGGTAATTCGACCCGTAGAACACGAATATCACATTTGTTTACCGCTAGAACGCCTGGCGCTCGCGTCAGAAGCGCCGGCGCCAAAAGGCGCCAGAACATCTCGGATCCCCAAATTCGCTGGAAAGTTGTCCTCAGAGGTATTTTGACCCGTAGAATATGATTATCACATCAGTTTGTTACGAGTGTAGCCTGCGCTACGCCGCGCGCAAAACTGTTGTGATAGCGCCGGCGCCTGTGGCGCGGGCGCCAAGCGTTTTCGCTCTAAACCGGTATTATATTCGTGATCTACGGGTCAAATTACCCCTGAAGGCAAGTTTCTAGCCAAATCCACAGTCATGGACGAATTTCGATCAAAATCCGGCTCAGTTCTTGAGGAGTGGGGCAGTAAAGGGTAAATAGTGCCCCCTTCTTCTTTATACTAGCACCGAAATTCTGTTTCTGCTAGCATAATGGAAATAATTAACGAGAGTATACTTCCAGTCACAACTACTTCCCTCCTAAATAATAAGAACAGTAAACCAACGGCTTTTTCCAGAAATGTCACCTATCGGAACCACAGAGCTGCTCAACACATTGCCTGCACCGACGTGTACATATTCGATCCGTACTCAAGCTCCGGATGGTCCCATTCTGATGTATGTAGTAGCTTTACAACTTATTCCTGTGAAGCATTGAACAAGCTCCCAAGCTGACTAAATACGTATTACCCCCCGAGTTCTTATTTTTCAAATATTGAACCGGAAGATGGTCAGTTCTGGGATACGCCACGTATCCTATTCCTAATCGCAGTGGCGTGAAAATGCATGTTTGGCTTACAATGGTTTCGCATCAGTGGAATGACATACGTGATTCCCCATCAGCTAAGACTAGGGAGCAGGGTGAAGATCGGTCGAGGATTCTCCGATTATCGAGGGTTGTATTCTCTGCCATTCAACCACTTTAGAATGCCCGATTGCATTCTTTGGCGACACTTTCGATGACGGAATTATCCCTCAATACTGCGATAAGGCGACTCTTACCGACGGCTGTCAAGTCATAACTTTTGACTTCGCAAACTTCACCACCAATCGAAAACGGGATACTATATAAAAAGGATAATAGTGCTATTTCACCGTTCCATTGCCTTTTTCTCGAAACTTCAATACAACTCCGAGATGGTTGAGCGAAATCTCAATAGGATAGGATGCCAAGCTATTTAAAGGTCATGTTATCTTACCATACAACTGTTTGCCGGCTCACTCCGTGCTCAAAGTCTAGTGAAAAATTCGGAACAATGTGAAAATGCCATCGATGGTTTTGATCAACACGATAATGGAGGCTTGACGATTGTGTGTAATTAAGAAAGAAAAAACCTTTATAAACAAAATAATTAAAACGGTTCGTTTCGCTCCTTCCTCAGACGAACCTTATTATTTCGTCAATCCCCGGAGCTCATCAGTGAGTTGGGATTGGCGAAATAAAGACACAGGGGAAAGACGAATAAACCTTGATGTGACGTACAAAATTATCATGCAGAGGAGCATGCAATGAAATTAATTGTATATTGACTAAAGTGATTATAAATTGACAAGTATATGTATATTGGTGGATTATTGTTGAAGGCGAGATAGAGACACATGTTCACGTTCCCAAGCCTAATATTGTAGTGATACAGATTTTCATGCGTATCCGTGCTCATGGATATGTGTGTCTATGAGGAAACAGGCACTACCACCGCCTCTACCGCTGCATGTTCTGGGACGTAGTACTATACTTCTCCGATCTAGAGGAACTGAGATTACTCAGAATAAAGTCTAGAAAAGCTAAAGTTTTGCATAGGTTTGTCTGAAAGAGTCCGTATGTCTGTAAGTGCTTTTCGGTAAATCCAAAGATCATTCAACTATTGTCAGTAAGCTTTCGTGTAGTAATGGAACCTTGTGATTCCGGATACTTGCATTTCATTATAAAGTTTAATAAATTGATGCATGACCCACCAGAATCTTGAGTGACTGCCCTCCTTATTTGACCGGATTTCAGGATGGGAACGGTCGGTGAAAAAATCTATCATGTTTGGCAGTGTGACAGTATCGCCTCCGGTTTTCTCGTTCACAGCTGTTCCGTTGGCGATGGGCGGGGCGAACGAGTAGATCTTGTGAGATTTCAACAGAATTACGTTTTTTTTTTGAAATTTTGCTTCTTTAATTGTAAATGTGCCACGAGCTCAATGACAAGAAGCGTTTCAGATCGATGTCGATGGTTGCGCTATTGATCCTGCCATTCAGCCGGACATTAGTTATACGAGCCCAAATAACGTTTGTTCGCTTTTAAAGATATTCTGAGATATTGTCACAATGGGTTCTGCAACTGTGACGAAGCTGAAAATTAATTCATCGCAATTTCAGGCCTTTGTGGAGGTGTTTGGTTACAAGTTCAGTGATGCCACAGTTCTCAATTACGAGTGTGTTCTCGAAGTGTGCCGTTCGGTTGAAGAGTGCGAGAACCTCACCCCTCCAAATTGCAGCCACAGAAAGCAGGAAATCAATTTTCCTCACGAGCCTGCTCGTCTAACAAGAGCCACAGGTAGGATTACCGAGCATGCTTTCTATGGGGCTTAAGCTGATACCCAGAGCGAAACGCTATTTAAAGCAGATACCGCACCCCTAGCCTTTCGATATCTCGTTCCATTTCTAGGTAGCACCCCTCATATACTTGGAGTGTGTACAATTCTGAACTCGCCGTGACTTGAGGGTGATGGTGAGCGGAGGAGGAGGTCGTATGGGTGATCCCTCCATGGCTGTTGGTAGTGAGAGTCGTGTAGCGACCCTCTTAATAGGGGGGGGGAGGAGGTGGAGTCATGAAGATTTTTGTACTCGCATAAAGAAGCGTTTACACAGTCTACTAAATTGTCCTCCTTTCCGAACCTCCGTCTTCTGTGCCACTAGAGGGAACATTGCATAGAAAATGTATTCCTATTACCCCATGTGCGTGTGTTATGTGTGGTCAAACGAGATTACGGGAAATTTTCCGAGGGAAAAAACCAAGGTTGCGAAAAGTGGGAGGTAGGCAAAAGCTCAGATTCCGTACCGCTGCTGGCACCTATGGCGTAGCCAGACGTTGCGAATCTGGCCACTTATCGCGTTGCCGATTATACTAAACTACCTACGCATTTGCTTTCTGTACTACTGAGAAGATTTCAGATGTTGGTGGTAAAAGGGGTCAGATTGAAGTGGCTGCCACTTTAACCATGGAAGACACGTTGGATGCTAACACTGTAACATCTGAGAAGGAACTGCTTGTCCTGGAAAACGATCAGGTAACATTGAAGTTTTCGCATCCACTTTCCTAAGAATTAAAATAAGAATTTTTTCAGTTCACCTCTGTCACATCTACACTGTCTCAAACGATTTGCTTCCCCACATCGACCATCTTATTTTCTGCGTTGCTGCTCTTCTTCGTTTTTATTACATCCACGGTTGCTTTACTATATGTTGTTCGTTATCGTACATATATTGTTAATCCTAAAGAATAGGAAACCTTTATTGAGAGTTTTTGTTATACTTAATAAATCGACCAATTACGGGTTACCGCATTTGGCATCATATGCACTATTGGGTTGTCTCATAATTCCTGTCGCAATTTCGACACTTTTGTTTATCCAAGTTTTATCTCTTCTAGGAAACAACTGATCAATAGCATAACCACCATCATGGTCACTGATATGCGTGCATTTGCTAGTGAGCGTTTGGAAGCTTCCAGCCCAGAATGAAGGAAGCTGGGGGTGAAGAATTTGGAGAAGTCGTTTTTGGGGTGTTGCGTGGCCGCGGATATCTCCCTCAGAACGTGGTGAGTTGGCATTGCAATGTGAGGTCTGGCGTACATTCGGAGAAAGGAGAATCTGAGACGTTTCTGACGATTCCCTCGCAACCCCGAAGCCAGCCTAGAGGGCTATTCCGCGCTGACTTTAGCAATGCTTGTCTTCATACATTGAAGTGGTTCCCAAACCAGGCCACCTAGCGAATCCAACAAAACGAGAGCGATATTCTCAGAAAACGGAGTTCGGGCTTTGGTTGAGCTGGTGCTTCCTGGCTGCGAGGCAGCCATCAGACGTGCCGCATGTTGTTGTCGCAGTGGACTCATGACTCAGTTGTCCCGCTCATGGTCGGCCGGACCATAAGGTTTCCATCAAAACTTCACTCTGCAGCAGTCCTTGCCATACTGATGGCGTGTGCTGGTGCATCGGCTGCGCTCAGGTATCTGCTACAATACCCTGGTAGCAACGTGGTGGTGATGTCCGTTCCTCCAAGTGGTGCCACTGGAAACTGCTCACTTTTGTGAGCTGAGCCGACCACGGACATTCGAATGCAGGCGACAGGCCCCCGTGACAGGCCGGCCTACGAACACCCACGTCACATCACAATGTCAATGTCGCTACAAGTATCTCGAGATAATGCTACGGCGTCCGCGGGAGCCGACGCGCACTCGCAAAGCCCGGCGAGTGTGAAAAGTATGCGAGGGTCTCCGGTGCAAGGACGGCATCGGGGGGCAACTAGGCTAGTCCAAAAGTCCCGCAACGTATGGAAGACTCGCGTTGCGACGTTAAATGTTGGCACGTTAACGGGACGCTCGCACGAGTTAGCAGAAGCTCTAGAGCGCCGAACGAATTGATTTCTGTGCCGTGCAGGAAACGAGGTGGTCCTGCTGCAAGTCGAGGGACATTGGCCGCGGCTTCAAAGCCGTTCTCTGTGGCGGTCCCAGAACCACCAATGGCGTCGGGATGATTGTCTCTGAACGCTTTCGTGATTCGATAGTAAGCGTGGAGCGCTTCGACGACCGTTTAATGAAGATCGTTGTCGTCATGGAACATCAAAAATACCACTTCTTCTCTGCGTACGCTCCGCAGACTGGATGCTCCGAGCAAAACAAGGACAAGTTCTGGAACCTGCTTGATGAGAAGACAGCTGAGGTACCGTCACAAGAAGCCATAATTGTTGCCGGTGACCTCAATGGCCACGTGGGCGCTACGAAAGACGGTTATAGCTGTCATGGTGGTTTTGGTTATGGGTCACGTAATACTGATGGCGAACGAATTCTTGAATATGCAGACTCGCATAATCTCGCCATAGTAAACACGAAATTTCGAAAACGTGACTCACATCTTATCACATTCTATAGCGGTAAAACCAGAACACAAATTCGATTTCGTCCTTGTTAGGCACCGTGATCAAGGGCTCGTAACGGACGCAAAAGTAGTACCTTATGAAACGGTCGTCACACAACACCGACCACTGATTTGTACGCTAAAGATCGCCCCGCCGAAACCGAAACTAGCCGAAAGGTGTGGGCCAGCGAGAATCAAGTGGTGGCGACTGAAGGAAAAAGAAGCGGCCGTCGTTTCCCGCATTCGATTACCAGCGGTAACGACTGTCGACGAAACTTGGAACGATAAGCAAACATGGCTGTGGACGGATCAAGTTAGAGAGAAAGTAAGAGAGAAGAAAAAGCGCTACCACGCTTTTCTTTCGGAGAAGACAGCCGGTTGCTGGCAGCGCTATCAGATAGCGAAGAAAGAGGCAAAGAAGGCCGTTGCTTCTGCGAAAGCAGCTCATTTTGCCGATCTCAATGAGAAACTCGAGTCGCGCGATGGTGAACGGTACATTTACCGACTCGCAAAGACCCGCTATCGCCAGACCGAGGATATAGAAAAGTTCTTCGGCATAAATGATGCGAATGGTCACCTTCTGACGGACCGCGAGAAAGCATTGAAGCGATGGTGTGAATACTTCGAAAACATCTCAACAGTCGAATTTGCTCATCCCGCCATCCCTTGTGCTCCGCCAGTACACGGCCCCGTTCAGAAGATAACCATGGAGGAGACCATCACGGCTATGAAGAAGATGAAATCAGGCAAAGCAACTGGTCCTGACGACTTAGCGGCGGACTTGTGGAAATCAAAGTGCTGGAATCCTGCACAGTGGTTGACGGAGTTCTTCAACCAGGTCGTTGAGAAGAAGGTGCCTGAGAGCTGGCAACAGAGCACGACGATTCCAATCTGGAAGAAAAAGGGCAGTCCTGCGGACTGCACTAGCTACCGTCCAATTCGCCTGCTCTCGCACAGCATGAAAATCTTTGAGCGAATTGTAGACAGTCGTATCCGTGACGTCGTCGAGCTGACCACCAACCAGTGTGGTTTTGTTGCTGGTTGCAGCACCATCGATGCCATACACGCCGCTCGCCTTCTGCTAGAAAAGCATCGCGAAAAACAAAAGCCGATACATCTTGCCTTTCTAGACTTGGAGAAGGCTTTCGATCGCGTTCCACGTGACGTTATATGGTATGCCTTACGACAGCATGGCGTTCCCGAAGAGCTTATTGAGTGGGTGCGCATCCTGTACTCGAGTCCAAAGAGCCGAGTGCAAACGGGCACATCGACGGATTTTCCCATCTCTGTCGGAGTACACCAAGGCTCTGCGTTATCCCCACTCCTATTTGTTGTCGTCATGGATGCCATTACAGAGATCTCCAGAAGCCGGCTCCATGGACGCTTCTTTATGCTGATGACGTGATGCTCGCTAGCGAAGATAAAAGCACGCTCGAGCAACAGGTGCAAACCTGGTCCGACCGTCTAGCTATGTTCGGACTCAGGTTGAATGTCAAAAAGACAGAGTACTTGACCACCGATCCGAGTGAGCCAGGCTCTATTAAGATCAATGGTACTGAGCTCACACGTACAACAACATTCAAGTATCTTGGATCAGCAATTGCGTCTGACGGCAGCCTGGTCGTGGAAACGAATTCTCGCGTGAATGCAGCCTGGTTGAAATGGCGCTCGATGACTGGCGTTCTCTGCGATAAGAATATACCTGAGCGTCTCAAATCCAAGATCTATAGAACCGTCATCCGGCCGGTCGCCATTTACGGTGCTGAGTGCTGGCCTGCGACCAAAGAAGTTGAAGCCCGTCTCGGTGTGATGGAGACAAAGATGCTCCGCTGGACAGCCGGAGTCACACGATTAGATCGCATTCGTAATGATGTCATCAGGGAGCGATTCGGTGTAGCTCCGATTGTTGATAAAATGCGCGAAGCCCGTCTCCGATGGTATGGACATGTTCTTCGCGCGAATGAGGACAGTGTCCGTAAGATCGGTCTCAACCTTGACGTGCGCGGAAAGCGGCCTAGAGGAACGTCCGAAGCAGGCGATGGCTTCGACAGTTATCAGCGAAGAGTTAAGAGCTGTTAAAGGAAGTGGGTACGAAAAGGAATTTTCACATCTGCGGAGAACCTGCTCCCCACAGAGCAACTAGCAGGCCGCCAAGGAAGCGATGTGTGGCGCTTGCACTGCGAACAGTGCTGTGGTTGCTGAGCAGGACCATTGCGCCCTTCCGCCCCATGCGCCGCCCCGCCCCATGATTCATCGGTGGCTTGGGCGAGCCGTGTTGCCAGCCGCAGCGCGGTTAGGGCGCCATGCCTGCTGTTCGCTGCCCAGCACGCGTTGCGCAATCTCGTCCACGCGTGCGCGGTCTTCGCCGCAGTCCATCTGAGAGCCGCAATAAACGGCCCAAAAGGGGGTCCCATTTCTCGTTTCCTGGACCGATTTCGCTGCTTCTTTCGCCACTGACGTACCATTGAGGACCCCCTCGTCCCCTCTAAACCCCATTCAAACCTAGCGTAACCGCTGCCTTTAACATCCACCCCGATCAAGCATTCAATCGGGAGAAGTGGCGTCAACACATCAGAAAAGCGGACCCCGCCTACAAGCGGGACAGACGCTAAAGAATAGACAATACCCTGGTAGCAACGTGCGGAGGCACTCCCAATTTAGGGTGCAAGGGGCGCTCATCAAAAATGACCGCAGGCCCAGTATGAGGTTGAAGTTCATAGCTCGTTTCGTCTTTGCCGTTGCGATTGGACCACTAGCTCAGTACCCTATCAGTAGCAGAGACTGGGTCAAACACAGCGCTGATCTTCTCTGTTGTCCTCCTTGCTACAGAGTTCATTTGAGGATCGTAAAGCATAATCATTCATTATAGTCACTGACCTATTTTTATTCCTAGTTGATTAACCCGTTAAGGGCTTGCGCTTCCGAAACCATGCTGTTAAGGCTCTTGAAGCATACTTCAACATACTAACGTATTTCGCAATGAAACGGTCTTAGACGGAAGAAATTTGAAATTGAATAGAAATGCGACAGGAATTATGAGACAACCCAATACCTACGCTCGCTGTTCGATGTCACAATGGGGACCAAAGGCTAAAATGAATAATTCACTGTACAAAGCATGTTTATAAAAATGAGACAGGGTAACTTTATCCAGTTTTAATTCCACACTGTTAGGGACTCTACAGTCAGAGGAAGCACGATGATCAACACCCGACCCAACGTCTCCGCCCCTCGCCGCACGATTGACCGTGCGCGCGGGGTTGCGGCGTGCTGGCGATACTGTTTATCCTCCCAGGTATAGAAGTAATGGGCCACATAAGGAGAACTGGAGTTGCGAACACTGCAGTGGTCTTTGTGTTGGCACTTAAAGCAACCAGTATTGTTTATCACTTCATGGCTTTTACCTTACACATAGTGATCAAGAATCGTTGCTTCGCATGTCCAAAATAAGCAATGCCATCAAAAATGTTCTTGATGTGTATGTCAAAATAATCTTCCGCACCCCCGCGCTACTGGCCGTGGAAGGGCCGTCGCAACTGTAGTAGACGAGTTTCTGTGAGCGTAATTCGAACTCTAGTGTTACAGGGACGCCAAGCAGGACCTTCCATTTAAAATTCAACTTCATCCCACTGTTCCACTCTCGGAAAATTACCGAATCGCGATGCCGTGCAAGTGCCCGCACGCGGGGGCGCGACGACCGGACGATTCTGTTGACCGTTCCCCGATTTAGTGTGAACACTTTGACTCTTCATTTAGAAGGCAACTGATCACCCTTCGCTAAATTCAACCCCAGCGCTTCTGATGAACGTTGAAGAACACATTCATGACTATCAAAAATATTTCCATGGTCTTCTATACTCACAACATCAGAAGGCATGCCAGTGGGAACATGGCGCACACTTCGAGCTCAGCGAGATCCTCGTCGTATCGTGTCCCATTACAACTTTATCTAAAATTTTGGTGGAAAAGGGTCTTGTGTTTTTATAGTTACCGACTTTGGAAAATTGTCTACCAGTGAATCGAATGAAGAAATGATGTAGCTGCTCCAGACTGGAGCAATTCATGTGGACCTGAGCTTGACTGCAGTGGCATAGATGACGCCAATTCTAGAGATAGTGAGAGCAGTGGAGGAGAGCCTACGTTTTCTTCAGGGGCGGGGGCACCCAAGGTTTGATAGTTTCTCAGAGAAATAATATCCTTGAACGAACCCCTAACTAGCGGGGCGGTGATGCTGTCACGATGTGAAAATGCGTGAAAAGGAAGCTAACGCCTCCGCTTGATCGCTTGGGCTTGAGCAAACGCTTCAAATGATTTTTTTGCAGCTGTTGACATACAACAACTTTTAATAACATTTATCCAAACACTAAAAATGAAAAATTCAAACAAATTACGATAAATCATTTCTAATACCAAAAAATGTAGAGCTGAGCAAAAGCGAGGTTGGCAAATGGACTGGCATTGTCGTCCGGAATACCGTAGATGTTCACAAATCGACGATATCAATCTGTTGTGAACTACCACATGGCGGTTCAGTTTCGATTATTGTCTCTGTGGTTTGCGACATTCGCAAATTTCCTCTGGAAATGAACAAATGACTTTGGGAAAAAAAGACCAAAAGAAAGGGGTAGAAGTAAAATTTTGAAGTTCCACTGACTTTCGTATTATACCCAGCGCTATTAAGTCGTCCTCGTCTCCAGATATGTCTCCTTCATCCCATCTTAAAAGAAAAGTACAAAAGAAAGGTATCATATGACGAATGATAGGGTCTCATATTATATTTGCTCAGTTTTACTGAAAAAAAAACAGAGCTTATTTTGGAAATCATTCAGTCAAACTCCAGTTTTTAGCTTCGCATGGATCGATCCTTTGGGAAAAGTCATGAGTCTTCGATTCATCTGTCATTTTCTGATTTTGGAATGACAATTAAAAAGTTGTGAACCGTTCGAATACATGTTTCAACGAAAATGGCTACTTCCCTTGTTTCGGAATGTGAAATCTAACAAACGAAAAAATATAAAAAAAAGTCCGATACGACATAAAGAACATTTTTCATGAAAAAATATGCCTAAATTAAAAAGAGAGACGAGACAGTAGTACTCACCTGCTGTAACGTTTTGACGGCACGCTGACGTAGAAACCCATACTGCTGCTGAAGCTATGTCTAAGTGAGTTCATGAAATTAAGGCAGAGAATAAAACCTATGGGAATGTTGAAAGCTCTTTCTTAACACTTAAAGGCAAGATTCAGGATTGAATTATGAGGTAATTCCACTCAAATGTGAAAGTAGGGGTAGGTAGTGGACCGCCAGTGGAGAAAAAAGAAAAAAAATCGTGAAATACACAGGAAATACGAGCCTTTTGCTCTACGCTGCGGAGAAGTTCAAAAGGCCGGCAGGGAGATGAGAGATAATGTGAGCGCGGAGAGCGTAGAGAAGTCCGAGTAGAGAGAGCATAGCAGATCAACATTGCGACGCAGACAAGATATCGAGCGGTGGGCGGAGCGTGTCGCAACAGGTGGAGCGTGTCAAAGTTCTTAGCGCCTAGCGTCTAAGTAACGCTTTTCGAAGTAGGGAAGTGACGCGACCTCTACACTTGCGTACCTAGCGCTTCTAGCCACCGTAAAGGCTCATTAAGTGGGTCTGAGCCCGAACTTTGCCTTTAAACTTCGTGGCGGTACTTCGATCTGATGTTGTGCATATCAATGCATATATAATTTGTTATTGAAGGAATCCTTCGCGGAAAATTCTTGCATTCTTTTTCAACATGAATGTATCAGTTGTGATCACTAGATGCAACAAAGTTTACGCATGAAGGTTCGGTTTCCGAAGAGAAACAAACTCACGAAAATCCATTCTATGGACAATCGAAGGTAATTCGGGCGGAGCCAAAGGCGGGGCATGGAATAAGTCCGCACTGGGGCGCCTACGTATCAGGCGACGCAATGAAAGAATCGGGTTAAAGCGCGCGATTTGGAGAGTAGAGACAAATCGATCGATAGAATAGGATGGAGTAGAAGTGTGAGATGAAGCAATAAGTCAAAATGCCAGAAAAAATTTCTAGTGAACGGCACTCTAAGAACCAAGGGGGGGACTTCCCGTCGCCAGCACTTGTGACACATGTGCTGCGGTACTTCGAACGCGTAGCAGCCCTTTCGGTTTTTCGAATTTTTTACCAAAACGAATGCAATTTTTCTGTTCTTTTCATTCTTATCGTTGATGATGAGCCTCATGCCAGTGAATTATGGCCGAAATTGAATCATGATTTTTCCGTGAAGGATTCCTTCAAGATCGTAGTGTAATTTGAAAAAGTGATGGAGGCCATCAATCGTATTTCCGAGGGGACTGCTTCACTCATTGCAATAGTAAGCATCATAGCTACTCCGATACACGACCATACGACTCCTACTAGTACTGCTCTAAGTGATAAAGTTGGCGCTGGGACTGAGATCCAATCCTGCGATTTTTTAGATGTTCTGCGTAATTTTAGGGAAGGTATGGTGAACATCGGCCCACTAATCCGAAAAAGCCTCTCGTCTATTCTGCCAGGGAAGGAGCGAACAAAAAGGTCACAGGGCACGTTCCAGGGAAATTCAGTGGTCACTGTAGAGACAAGCTCAATGCACACATCCATCATACGAAAGCCCTCCTTGGATTTGAATGTTCTTAAATTGACAGGTGAAATCAGGAAGTCCCTCAAACTGTCAGCCACACTTTAATATTTATTCAGCTATTGCCATGATGATCACAACTCATCGCCACTCAACCATCAGTGCTCACAGATTATCAGCTCAGAGTGAGGTGTACTTCTGTTATCGACGAGAAAGTAAAGGGTAATATGTATCTGCAAATATCTACATAGAAATATAGTAGTTATTGTTAGAGGTGAAAGTTAGTGACTGCGTGAGTTATCAAGATTCCTATTAAATCGCACGCTCGTACAATAGAATCAGATGGTTATAAGCAGGGTCAACCGTCACGTTGGACCAATTTCGAAAATTTTACGACCCCCTCCCCCCCCTTAGAGGGCCTCGATACGACCCCCTCAGGGTTAACCCTTCACGACCATCCTCCACCACCCTCGCCTGCCATCGCCATCATGGGGGCGATTCTATAGTATTTCATTCTGAGACCAGTCTCGACACAGCCTCCAAAAATGCCGTCGAGCGGGGGGTATATATCGAATGTGAAACGGCAAAATCCTAATCCGCTCTCCGTTCCATAAAAACACTACCTCGCGAAATACTACCCCCCCCCCCCTTTTCCACATCCAAATACGACCACCCCCCACCCCTTCGTTGGACTTTCTCCAACGGACGCTTGACCCTGGTTACCACATTTGCGGGAATTCTTTTTCAAAGCCTTAGAAAATATTGAAAATTAAAACTATTCTGGCCGCTGATCGATGTCTTCATTTTCCGTTACCCGAATGAATCTATAAAAATTCGTGAGTGTCATTCCCTGACTATAGTGTACAAAAGATCCTGCTCCAGCTGTTTTCTTTTACCGATCAATTGCCCGAATTTTCCCATCTTTATGTTATCCTAACATATGGGACAGCAAATAGTACCTGCAGCAAATGATTCCCACTGCACAGGCAATCAGGAACACGACAACAAGTAGAAGTGCAACCTCCGTTACCGTCCAATTATACGCCCAGTCTTTGGATGAAACTGAAATAATCCTCATCAAGTTGAAAAGTGCCGCAGCAGAACAGAATTTACCCTCATCCTTCAAAAAAAGGAGAGAAATGCAGATTCGCGTCTGTTCGTCTTTTATTAGAACTCAGCTTGTCTTTGATTTTCTTTCGGAAAATTATACCCGTTCGATGCCAATAACTCTATAAGGCCGATGTCAGACTTTGCGAATCGAGCGATTCGCTAGCGTCTGCGGTCGCGTCGCGGCCAGTGAATCACTCAATTGGCTGGTACCGCAACGCGACCGCGGACGCTAGCGAATCGCTCGATTCGCAAAGTCTGACATCGGCCTAAAGCTACTCATTAGAGAGCGCCTTTCGGGAATTTGAAGACCCAGTCGTTTAAGAGCGTCTTAGCACTATACTGTGTAACTCAACGATTCGAATCTAGCGGTATACTTCCCTTTGAAAAATATAAAAACAAACTGTGTCATAAAAAAGACGAAAAATACGCAAAATCGCGTTTCACGCGTGTCTTTGAAAAAAAAATTGAAAGTATAAAAAATATTCACTAACATTGACAGAATTGTCCATGAAATGGTTCCGGGCAATCACATCGATGTTTGCCGGCGGTCTCTCTGCATATGCCCCCGTTCATGCATGGCGTCGCTTCGCACGATGTGAAGAACTCTGAACCGTATTACTTGATCAGCAACTTCTGAAAGGTTAAACCAGGGTAGTCTGGGTCGCTTAAGTGTCGAGTGCTCTTACAGAGCACCCGCAGAGGGAAAATGTAGCTCAATCCTTTAGTGATTATTTCTGATTCTGGACTGTACCGTTGCGGACCTCGAGCACGACTCGAGCCAACGGAAATGGCCTGAGTACGCTTTTACTAAAAAGGATGTTGGTTATAGCCTTTGCCTGGAGAAAATTCTAATTCAATGCAAAATTTTTGGTGCAAAGAATTAATCAATCGTGGTTAGTTGATTCCAAAGCGCTAGACAAATTATAGCTGAAATGTTTAGAAAATCTCGTTACTGTCAAGATCTTTCGAGATCGCATAGAAAAAATTATTATTATGTACTTTTACAGATTTTTATGCATCCTCGTGGAATAAAATACAAGAAATAAATAAAATGCAGAATTTTGGGGAAGGTCTGAAATGACCAGCCTCCTTCCATGATTTCGGACAACTTCGGGACCAACTGCTCTAATGCATAGCATTGGAATTTCAGCTCGGGCTTGTCCTCTCCTACGAATGAAATGGATGCAGCGTTTAAGTTAGCACCAATTCCCGTCATAAGTAAGAAAGTAAGCATAGGGAGGTGCAGGAGGAAACCTCTAAAACTCAACGCATCGCAAATGAAGCGAATGGAGAATGGCAACTCTTTCTGAGAAGGCGAGGGAAGCCGCCGGCTGTCGCTTGGGCAGTGCCAATTGTTACCTTGTGCGAGTTCAAAAAAATTACGACCACTGCCCTGGAAGGAGTTCCTCAAATCGCGTAATGTGGTTGAACCAAGTATCACTTGACAGCGTCAACTTCACCCCAAAAAATTTCTCCGAAACTGGTGCAAGAGGTGGGTGGAACAGAGCTTGAACAACTCCTGAGACACTCAATGAATTCATCGCATCTTTGCCCATATCGGCATCTTTACTCCACCACCGCGACCTCGGGACCCCAAAACGACGCCTCCCCTCCTCACTTCAAAAATTGCAAACAAATACGATCACGCTTGGAACTTCACGGTAACTTGTCTTTATATTGTGCCTGAGCCAATTTCAAGGATTTCGCGACGGCTTCCGCGACCCGAATTGTCCAGCTCGTAACGAAGAAAATCATCGTTTAGTGATTCTGATCGCTCAACTTTGAATCCCTGAGGTCCTAAGTCTGCAAAAATCTCTCGCAAATCCGAAGTATCTACGGGTTACACTTGGACGAATACGATAGGAATTGAAGACCACTGCTCACGCACCACGACGGATGCCTCTCTCAAGCGATTTGAGATCCCCCATCGAAACTTAACGACTGCGCATGCGCTTTGGATCCGACGGCTTAGAGATCTGCAGTGCAGACTCCACAGCACAAATGACGCCTTTGAAAAAATAAGGTAGTCAATAGTCTACAGTGACTGCGGTGGGGAAGTAATAGCTGTAATTAGTAGCAATTATTAGCATACAACAGCCATCTCACCTTGCTGGCAGGCAACTATTACATTATATGGAGACTGTCGTCATTGTGTTGTGCAGTCTGCAGTGCATACGTATCGGGCCGTCGGATGTAAAGTCAAATGTTGAATATTGTTGTGTAAGAAAGCGAGTTGTTCATGACAGTCATGGTACTGATAATTTGTTCATCTGGTACGGAATTTTCCTAAATTTAGGAAATTTGCGCCCACCCTGTATTTCCATTGAAGAGTTGTTTAGTCGCATAGTGCATAGAAGCTTATGTAAAATATTAACAAAGGTCCGCACACGAGAGTGCATAGCAGTAAATACCTTCAATAACGTTAGTCGTAAAGCCTAGCATGGCTGAATCGGGTAGCTTCGTTAAATAGCTTGTTGAGATGGGCGGATTTCTCATTCCAGCGCATTCCCAATGTCCTCGGGAATTAACCGCTCTTCCTACTTAAACTCCAATCCTCCAGCATTTGTTTTACTTTCTACCTCTGCTACGCATCTGGGTGGCCCCGCCTGAATATTTAGACTTCAAATTGTAAATAGAGCACAGGGAGAGAATATTTCATTATATTGGTCTCTAAGGATGCGCAAGAACGAAACTAACGACTTTTTTGACTACCACTATTTTGTAGGATAAATATAAAAATTCGAACACTAATATTAGCTTCCGTAAAACTGCCTCACAATCAGAATAAGGATAATAATTTCGATTTAATTTGATTTGGTTGTATATTAAATATAACAGTTTATTATACAAATGTCTGGAGTTATGCTCAGGCAGCCTAAATGAAGAGTATTTCACCCTTTCATGTCATCAAAATCTCGGTGGGAAACTTCCAACAAAATAGAGATTCTACGAGAAGAGAAGTGTTTTTGTAACGAAATTTGATTCTACCCGAAGATACTGTTCAATATTTATGATTATAAAATATTGACAAAATTTTTAAAATACTTCTCTCTTCTTTTTTTCTGAGCATTGTACGACGAGAAAGAAACCAGAACGTTCGGAAATGTCAGAACTTTTATTATACCGCGCTCCTTAAAATATTCAAATTGTTTGGGCTAACAATAGTCGGTACCATAACTCCTCATTTTTACTAGACTCAACTTTTTAACTAAACATATGAAAAAATAACTTCTTGTACGACTCCCTGTTGCGCCATTTATTTTATTTTTGTTTGAAATCAGTGAAGCACGCAAATGGCCTCCTGTCGTACTGGTTTTGTATGTAGACATCTAGTTCCTTAGTATGGTTGTTTTAAAGACAACTGGGCTTTGTAGGTCAACTTCCCCATCCTTCACAACTTCCCCAGCTCCATTATTTTGCATCCAATTTCGCTGTTTCTCTTCACATACACTTTTTACCTTCTCTAAGACACACTCAATTGCTTTCGAGGGCAAGTCTCCGCAACAATGCATGAATTGTGGAAAATCCAGTAAAACGACAGATGTTGTCTTCATAGCCGCATAAGGCTGAATTCATGTTGAAGACCAAGTGCTCCCTTGGTAGTTGGTTTTTGCAGCACGGAACAGATAATATCCGCAACGATTTGTCATTTTCGCTATAGCGAGCCAGTCGAGAGCAACAACAACTGAAAACAATGAAAAGCAGCAATATTATCCCTAGCTCTTTGGATAACGCCTTGATGACCAGACGGTGCGTGAGCCATCTACTCATTTAAAAAAAACAGGGAAGTCTTGCCATCAATTTTTTTCTGGCGAAAAATGTTTGTGTGGTGGAAACAGCTGTGATTGTCCTCCGCGAGTGCCTTGCTTTACGCTGCGCCATGGAAGACTAGGAGAAAGGACTTAATGTAAGGAGCAACCTCCACCAGAGAATTGCCCAAAATAATAGGAGCTGGCTTGTCCACGAAATAGAGTTATTTGACAAGACAGATCCCAAGACCTTGCCAAAGGTGCAACCAAAGTGACATAGAGAGCTGAGCAATAATTTTGGTTTCTGTTGAACACTGTTTCCGGAGAAATCCTGAATAGAATAAGCAGAACAGGGCCTACACATTCAAGAAGGGAATGGGACATTCAATAGGTGTTTTTCCACAGAGCGCTTTACGCAGTATGAAGGTTTACAGAACTCAGTTGTCGTTCTGCTTTGACAAGACCGGCATGGCCGATTACAAGTACATGATCCCCTCCTCTCCCATCCCAACCTCCTGCTATCTTTACCCTCCAATAATTGATGATATGGGTAGTTCACTGGACTTGGTATAACGCGACGGACCCGAGCTACGATCCACCCTACCAGAAATCCTCCCAAAGTACTCGAGCAGGAGCTACATAACAATTGAAATGGCAAGCATAACCCAATATTCTGCACGCCGAAGCTCACCAATAGATGGTTCAATCACAAGATAACTGCCAGTATTAGAAATATATAAAATACAATATACAGAAATGTAATATACAGGATTACAAATGTGATGAACGGATGGTCCCTGCAGATGCCTTGCTGTCCAGCGATGAAAGAATTGAAGAATATGTGATTGATGGATTAGTGAAGAAGTATGAGAAGAAAAAAGTGGCGTCATTCTTCATAATGTAATGAACGCTAGTACACGCCAGTACGCTAGTCAACGCATAGTCTTCATTCGAAAGATGATTCCAGCTCGTCGAAATCAAGAGGCCATTTTACCATCATACACCGCCGCACAGGGACTGGCAAATCGTTCATCGAGCAATACGCAATTCATGAACCTTTTTAGAGAGCTCTATCATAGGGTAATCACATATTGGATGCGAATTTTGCTAAGAACTATGTCCAGCACTTACTGCTAGGTGAAGGGCAAGAAAAAATGGTATGTGATAGATAAAGGTAGATATATGATAGGAATTTCAAGCTAAGCGACTAAAACAGTTGTGATAGCACGCCAAGAGTTCAACTATGTAATTTTCTTTATTAACTGTATGAAAAGGGCGGAAGTGGTGTAGTGACAAGTGGCGCGCTTACCACGCGAGCGGTCCGGGGATCAAATCCTGGGTCGTGAGTCGCCCGGGCCAACCAAGCCTTCCATCTTTAATTTTAATTTTACCAGACTTGTCTGGTGGATGATTTCGTATTTCTTTTATTTTTTGGGAACACGCATTTTCGAATTATGTCTTTCTGACGTTTTTTCTTTCTCGGAATGTAATCAATTCCCTCTCTTCTGCTATTATCCCTTTCTTTGCATCTTGCTACAATTGATGGGCCCGCTTTGAATAGCCATCGATCGATTGACGATCCATTGCTTCCATGGAAGATCCATTGCTTCCAGTGGAAGAAGAGAATGCACTTTCAATCCAAGAAATTATTCTTCTAGCCTTTTTCTTGCTCTGCAACCACTGTTTCTAAATATTTTCGAATAATGAAATCTTTAGGACCATTCGAATTTGCTTGGTAACTTTTCTCCAGTTCAATTATATTGTAAAAAATGAGGGTTTCAATGTGCATAACGTTAATACGAATTGCCACAATGCTGGACTGAA